GTGTAAACAGATAAATGATCTGTTGCTCTTTTTGTCACTGCCACATTTAACACCGAAACACTAAAAGCTGCTCCTGTCCTCCCTGTTTTAGGGTCCTCAGATCCACCTGTGAATATATTCAAGAAAGCATAGTATTGTGCTCTTAAATGTTCACTTACAACTGAATCTACTCCTTCCTCAACATCTCTTACCCTCTCAAGCAACCCTAGATATATCACTGGTTGAGGGAGAAACCAAGGTGGGATAGCAGGAAGAACCCCATCTCTCTCGCCATGCAATTGCCTATCCACCCAAAGCTTGCTTTCTGATTTTGTTCATGTTCCCATCACTTTAGGAGCACCTTTGTTGTAGGATGAGTAACATTATGTCCTTGTAGATTTACCCAATATGTTATGGTTAGCTGTTGTCTTCTTAACTTTAACAGCATCTCTCCCAACTCTACCTGCATCGCTGCCACCGGGGAGGTCCTGAGTGCTCCACAACATATTCTTAGGGCTTGGGCCTGGATAACATCTAGCTTTTTTAAAGATGTCTGAGCTGCTGATCCATATGCTATACTTCCATAATCCATTGATGACCTTAACAGCGCTATTTATATATCATTTTCAACTGCATTCTAGCTGCCCCCCACTCCATTCCTGACAAGCAACGCATTACATTCAATATTTTATTTCCTTTGACAACTAAAATTAATATGCTCTGCCCTTGTCATTCGAGTGTCAAACCAGACCCCCAGGAACCTAAACCCTCCCAGCCTCTCTAGATTCCTTCCATACCACTTCAAGTATATTTCCTCCCCAACCTTCCTTCTAGAAAAAAACACAGTCTGTGTTTTCTCAACTGAAAACTTGAAGCCCCAAATGAGGGACCATTGCTCTACTTCACTAATCGCTTCATTAACTATTTTGGCTGTATGGGTAATATTTCTCCCTCTCTTCCACAGCGTTCCATCATCCGCAAACAATGACCTCCTAATATCAGGTCTCACCTGAGAGAATACATCGTCAATCATAATGGAGAACAACAAAGGACTAATAACACTTCCCTGGAGGGTACCATTTTCCACCTCATAGCTTTCTGACATAGAGCTCCCCAACCTCACTTGTATTGATCGCCCAAAAAGAAAATCCTTTATCCAGTTAAAAAAAAAACCTTCCTCCAACCCCCATGTTATTCAGCTTGATAAGTAGGCCTTCCTTCCACATCTTAAGCCTTCTCTACATAAAAGAAAACGGCTAGCACCTCCTTATTTGCCTGTGCCTTCCGTATGACTGACTCAAGGCACAGTACAGGATCCATCATTCCCCTGCCTTTCCTGAACCCACTTTGATCTTGTGACATTAGTCCTCTACTCTCCAGAAAGTAAGTCAGCCTTTCCATTATCATCCTTTCCATAAGTTTACATACGTGAGACGTCAACGCTATCGGCCTATAGCTTGAAGGACTAGTAGGGTCTTTCCCTGGTTTCTGTATTGGCACCACTACCGCCTGCTTCCAACTTCCAGTCAGTTTCCCTTCCTGCCACACCTTATTGTAAAGGCCCAATACTTTCCCCATTGCAGTGTCACTGAGATGAGCCATCATGATGTAACACATCTTTCCCAGGAGATGTTACCCCAGCTTTAGCTAATGCTCTCTTAATCTCAGCCAATGTAAAAGGGCTATTCAATGTATCCCCCACCATCTCTCTCTGATCCAGGACCCCTGGATGTTCTCCTCTGACCCGCTCTCTCCCACGCTGCCCCTCTTCTGTCAGATTATTTGAGCTGTGCACCTTCACCTATGCCTGGGCTAACATCTCTGCCTTCTCCATATCTCTCACTGCAACAATCTCCCCACTTTTCAGCACAGGGAGATCCCAATCGCTTCTGACCCCACTCATCCTATTAATCATCCCCCAAACCTCTCCCACAGGAGTGGTCCTGCCTATGTTTCCACAGAACCGGCACCAATACTCCCTCTTAGCTGTCCTAATGGTCCTCCTTACTACTGCTTGTGCTTGTTTATACTGAAACAGGTGATGGTAATTATGGAACCTTTTCAACATTCTGAAAGCGCTGTTCCTACTCTTCACTGCTTCTCTACACTCCTCAGTCCACCAGGGGACTGCGTTACCCTTTCTCCCCCCTGTCCCCATAGGAATCACCTGGCTTGTGGCCCCTACTATTGCTCCTCTTATTCCATCATTGACTGTTTCTATATCCGAATTCAGATCTACCTGAGACAGCTCCTGTTCACTCAACTCCACAAACTGACCCCACTCCGCTTTCCCTAATATCCATCTCCTCAATCCATTTCCTACTGATTCTTCCTCCCTCAATCCTACAGTACACATGATAGGATAGTGAAAAATATATATATATAATAATATGTATTCACTAACTGTAAGTCGCTCTGGATAAGAGCGTCTGCTAAATGACTAAAATGTAAAATGTAAAATGATCACTACCCACTGTAGATTCCTCCAAAACCTCCCAACTACATCTGCCTGCCATTGAACTTGAGATCAAAGTAAGATCCAGAGCAGATTCATTTCCAGTTACTGGGTCAATCCTTGTTCCCCAGCCGTCATCACAAGCCTTTTCTCATCCAGTAGTTCTTCCAACACTTGTCCATTTACATCAGCCCGTAACCCTCCACAGAGCGTACTATGAGCATTAAAATCCCCACACCACATTACCCGTCTCCTATCTTGACCTTCTACATTCCCAAAGGCCAGCAACTCCAGTCAATTACACGGGTTGTAAAAGTTCACTATTACCATATTTCCCCCTCCCAACTACACCTCTACCACTATATACTCCTGTTCCACTCCCTCTCCCACACACCTATATGGGATCCCCCGCTTTATAAAGGTAGCACACCCTCCCCCTGCCACACTATCTCTACGGACTGCAACATAACCTTGTAATACAAAATCTAGAGTAGGTTTTAGCCATGTCTCCTGGAGACATATCACATCAGGTTTGGCTGGTAACTCCTCAAGAAACTGTTTGAACTCTTGCCCATTAGCCATAATGCAAATTAACCAATACATGATTCCTGGCTGGACTGATTCTCAATCTTATTGAGGTCATCCTGTACAATTTCCCATGTCAGCCCTGTGATCCCAAGATACCTCACTGCCTGCTCCACAATGACCTTTATCATCTTAGTCCTCCATAGTAATTTTTCTGCGCAATTGATTGATGCTGTCACAAAAGTAACAACCTCCCCCATTCTGCACACCCAACCTGCATCTCAATCTGCCCTGGAATACCTGCTCTTCTAGGTGCCCCGATTGTATCTGCGTGAACTACCTTCACTGCTTCTGAGATGTTACGCTCACTCCTCACCTGCTGCACTTCCACGTCTTTTCATCACTGAACAACCCCCATACGCTACACTATGGGCGCCCCCACAGTTACAGCACTTTAACTGGACCCCATCTCCACATATGCATGTTCTCCCCCACACATCTCCTTTTGCCTTTACACACCGCCACCACATGCCCAAACCATTGACAGTATGACTATGCTCGCACCTAGTAACTCAAATACCCAATCCTAACTTTTCCTGGCAATACCAGATCCTCAAAGTTTAGTAGCACTGACAAGCTATCCACCTTTTTCCCATCTCATCTGGAGGCGCCTTGCCTCAATAAGAGAGCCTCCCTTCAAGTGGTCCTTTATTTCTTGCATGTTAACAATTTATGGAACTCCTGTAATAACTCCCTTCACCCACTTCTGTCCAGTTTGATCCGGCATGCTACTATCAACCACACGTTTACATACCTGCTTGAGTTTGAGCGCCTTCTCATACTGTTTAACATTGAAACACACCACCAAACTTCTATCACTAAGAACTTTAGCAGACAAGCTTTTCCTACTTTAGTCTCCAAATCCCTAGCCAACGCAATCGGACTCACCGTGACTTAAATTTCACTAATACCTTGAACTCCACTTCTCTCAGTACAACACTGCGACCCGAACCTCCCTCGTCACTACTCTCCTCTGACAATACCTGCAAAGGCTCCTCAGACTTCCTCTTCACCTTTACTAGACCTCCATCTTCCACTCCGCCACATTGTCCTCAACTCCTAACCCCCCTACCTTTCCATCCATTTCTGCTCCAGTCACAGCCCAGTGTTGCTCAACCACCTCCACCGGATTTCCTGTTTCATTTATCTTTGTTCAAATCTATTAACTTAGTTATATTGAATAATTGTTGTTTATCTATCCTAATTCACCAAACGGGGACAGCTTCTCAGCCGTCGTTTCTCCAGAAGCCTCCATTCGCTCCTCCCACTCGGATCTTCAGTGATTGCCTAAATTCAACACACCTGGTATTCCAGGCTGGTTAAGTCAAAAACATTAAGTTCCTGTGGCACCCCAGGACTAGGGTTGCCTTCCCCTGTTCTGGAGGCTCCGCATTGCATCACACCCTCCAGATCAAGCATAAATTGGCTTTAAAACTGGTACAAAAAGTATATTCTGACAAAAGCTGGATCCCTTCTAGCTATGATCAAAGTCTGTGAGTTGTGATTCTGGATGGCTAGATAGCTACCAACAACGACAAGAATCTACCATGTGGGGAATCGTAAATGCCTAATTTCAGCTGGTTTCATGATACAATGTCTATTGTAGATTTTATTTTATTTTTTACTATCCATCATTATATATGCAAAACAATTTTTATATTTATTAATATCTCCATCAGCCAACTGAGAAAATATTGAATGGGCAACTTGTTTGGAGTCTAGTGGCATTTGCCCAAAGTATTATTTGAAACATTTTTATTTTCAAAACAAATAAATCCAAAAGCACAGTTAGTGATAAATTCATAAAGGATATCTGAAAAACATTAGCACACTCCCAAAATCCATAATTACCCCAAAATATACAGTCTAAGGAAAACATAATTGAAGTGCTCCTGTTCGCGTATCCATTAATGCCCCTTGCATCACAGCCAATGTCCCAAGGTCCCACCTTCTCAGTTTGGGGTAACCTCTAAGGCACAGATCATAGCTCGAACAACGTCTGAATCATATCTGTCAAAGAGGGGAAAAAACCATTTCAGTCATGTACACGTTGCCACACCCATGTAACTGACACCATTTCCAGCTCGGTATGAAAATCCTCATTGTCCACCCACTTCCTTAGCCTCATTTGAAAGCCTGGCCCATACATTAGTATAAAAACTACCGGTATGTACAATGGTGGACATCATTGGACCATCGACATCCAATAATAATCAAATACAGCCCTACACATGTAAATAGTAAGAAAACAAAAGGTCCTGTGTCACCCCCTAATAAGACAGCTCTGCACATAGAGGTCCTATAATCTACTTCTATGGCTCTATATGTAATTTTATGGCTATGCCCCTGAAACGCACCAGGATTATTCATGCTTCTCTTCAACACTCGGTACGAGTCCCCAGTAAGGGTGTGGATTTCATCCCTCAGCCTCCGGCGCCCTTCCAGAGTCAGGTGCCACAGACAGGACTTCCTCTTCCCCTCGCTGCACACCTGCTGGGGAGTCTTGCGAAAGCTGTTGCTGAAACACAGGTTGTGGCGGATAGTGTTCTTCCAGCCATCAGGGGCTGTCTGGAAGAATGGGAAGTGCTCTCTGGGAGAGGGAGCCGTGAGAATTTCACACAAAAGCATCATCCATTACACATTCAAGGACTGCGACCTCAAAAGTGTTCCAACACAGACAGATGGAAACGTTAGATGGTACAATCACAAATCCATCCCTAAACTCTATTCTGTATGCGCTTGTGGAGAGCTGAGAGGATTTTATTGGTATAAGCAATATGGTGAAACTTCCACCCTTGGGCTATCAGAGGACAAGGTGACTCCATTACCATACTTACACCTGTCGAATCCTCTCAGATCTCCACAAGTGCTTAGGGGTCGATTTGGGATTGGGGTATAGTCTCTCCAGCTTCAACCCAGCGTCAACAAAATAGTAACTGTAGTGTTACTGGTCTGGTAATCTCCACCCATCAGTTCAAAAACACATTCTCTGTGGTTCCTACCTTGTGAAGTTATAGATCTGCTGGACATTGAGGCTGCCAGTGCGGTTGCTGCCAATAGCCATGGCGATTAAGATGCAGTAGTTGACAGGGGGACGCAGCCAGGCTCCGCTCTTTAGGTTGTTGCTGTCCTGGAGGACTCGCTGGAGGCGCTTGCTTTGGGCCAGACTGAGCTTTCGTGGTCCACCCTTAAGGGCCTTTGCCTTGTGGACAGTTTTGGCTTTCCGACAAACGGAGACATCCACCGAAGAGGAGTCATCCTCATCTGTAAGCTATGAAAAATATGTCACAAGATGTAGTTATTGAAGCAAGTGATCAATTGAGTGCAAGATGTCCAATGTGCTCTTAAATGCTTATACATATTGCACTGATGTAATCTTGTTTGAAAACCCTGAACTAAATACATATATTTTTGCATTATTAAAGTTTGCTCTCCTGATCAGAGTTTACCTACCATGTACTCGCTGGAGGAGGCATCATGTAGAGAGTCGGCCAAGCAGGTGTCCGCAGTAGGTGAAACTGGGAGCACATTTGGGATGGACTTGGGTTTGACATGGGTGACTGTGGGCTTGGGTACTGGTGCCAGGTGTTTCAGTGGCATCTTGGGACTCAATATCTTTGTTACTGTTTTGGGATACTTAATTGGGCAGGCTAGGTTGGGGTTGACCATCAACCATAGATTTGGCTGCATTGGAGATTCTGAAATGCAAGTACATTTTAAGATAACATTGAAGCACCAAATACATACATGAAACATTCATGGGGCTAAGACTAAAGTTAATAATTCACTTCTCCATTAGGCATGTTACTCTCACCTGATTTCTGATAGTTTTGACAAGAGAGGTCATCCTTTCTTCTCGATATTTTTGCATAGTGCCACTGAACCAGATACTGATCATTCCGTTTATCACCTGCCAATGAGTAATGTGCAGACTAATGAAATACAAATGTTTAAAAAAAAGAATACCACAACTGTTTTGGGCGGCATGACATCATTAATCCCGTTCCGAGTGTAAATTGCACACAGGTGATTTGGGGGGGATCAAAATGTTCAAAATGTTTTTCTTACCTTGGTAAAATTGGTCAGTTGTTGTGGTCAGCTTGATCTCTTCATCCATATCCCAGTCATTAAGGCTGGTTGAAAGATGGAGCTCAAGAAATCTGCTTCGGGTTTGGAATTGTAGACACATTCTCGTTGATATGAGTAGCGTAAACACCACTTTTCTAAATGAATCACACACACCAAAATACCCCCCTCTTGAAACTCATGAGAAGTTCTGACTGAATTCACTCAAATCTCCAATTATAGGTAAGGCCCTTGCCACAGCATTTATGCCAGGTGTGAAGAATTAGCCGTTAGTGCCTTGATCATTTCTGGCTTTCTCTCCTATATAATGTCGAAATGACATTTGGTTAGGCCTCATAAAAAAGATGATCATAATTCCTAAATAAATACAATAGTGCTATTTGTCATCAAGAAATACTTTAAATGTTTTATAAAATGTATTACCACATTTGTGTTTTCTAATAGCCGTCATCCACAGGAAGCCGGTGGCACCTTAATTAGGGAGGACGGGCTCATAGTAATGTTTGGAATGGAGTAAATGGAATGGTATCGAACACATCAAACACATGGTTTCCATATGTTTGATACCATTCCATTTACTCCATTCCGGCCATTATTATGAGCCGTCCTCCCCTCAGCAGCTTCCTGTGCCGTCATCACTGCAAAAGAGATGCTCAATTAACTTCCTTGATACTGTAGCGAACGGCAAAGCAGGTAAGCGAAGAATCGCTAGTGTGAAAGGCAAAGAAATTGTAACGTGGCTCGCTACATTGCCCCCTCAGAACAGGAAGGCATGGCCCCATGCTTCAACTTCTCAGCCCCCTTACACATCCAGGCCTAACAACCGCCATCCCGCTTCTGACACCACTGTAGGGAATGGTGGGGCAGAGAAGTGAACCCGGGCCGCTGGCATGAAAGGCAAACATCCTACGCATAGCGCCAATAGGGTTAACCTACTTGGTGGAATTTGGAACATGGCTCATACAAGGATCACTACAGTACAATAACTTATCATTATCAAGCATATATAAACAAAAGAATGTCATGGTACCGATATTATAATTTTTTGCGCATCATATGTATCGAAAAATGCTAATATGGATACCATAACTTGAATGGGATTTGTGCCACAAATGCAAAAATGTTAGCATTTGGAAAATATGCCAGGGAAATAAAACCAAAAAATGGATTGCTATCATACCTTGTCAATAGAACTGCTTACAGGGTAAGGAAACCAGTGTGTCATTTTGTAATTGTAATTTGTAATCTCTTTAAAGATTCTTGTTTTGAGAACAGAAAACTGTATTGAGATCTGAAACATCCATGAGAAAATGTGCAGAATGCCGACCCAGTTTTATCTTGCTCTATCTTCTCCCTCTGCCTGTCACTGGATTTCCTCTCACCACTATATTTGGTGGGGAGTGGAATCCCCAACCAGATGCTTCAGGCTTTTACCCATAGTGATGTAAAGAGATCATTGAATGGAAATAAACTGTTTTTGCATGGCCATTGCGACTGAGGGCATTCGACATTTTAAAGTAGTCAAGTGGGTGGGGATTCTTATGGGTTGGGAGCGATCAGTCAATGATCAGAGCATTGTCTTCTTCAAATTGGTTTGCCTAGTTTGTATTGCCTTTAAGCTATATGACCGCCATCTAGTGGCTACAATAAATGAATGACACAAGATTTGGTTCAACTCCATTTGGTTCAACTCCAGCACTGCATGTGGCGTTAAATCACCAATATTAACTTTACACTTTTTCAAACATCAAAAGAATAAGAAAATATACTACTTTAAAATGGAGATAGCCTCAATGGCGCTTCCCATGCTGTCACAGACGCCATGATGCCACAGACCCCTCCTCTCTCTCCCTCTCTCTCCCTCTCTCTCTATGTCTCCTTATTTATCTCTCTCTCACCTGCTGTCTCAACCTCTGAACGCTCGGCTATGAAAAGCCAATTGACATTAACACCTGAGGTTTTGACCGGTTGCACCCTCTATAACTGTGACTATTATTTGACCCTGCTGGTCATCTATGAACGTTTGAACATCTTGAAGAACGATCTGGCCTAAATGGCCATGTACTCTTACAATCTCCACCCGGCACAGCCAGAAGAGGACTGGCCACCCCTCGGAGCCTAGTTCCTCTCTAGGTTTCTTCCTAGGTTCCTGCCTTTCTAGGGAAGGTTTCCTAGCCACTGTGCTTCTACATCTGCAATGCTTTCTCTTTGGGGTTTTAGGCTGGGTATCTGTATAAGCACAATTCCCCTTTCATTGTGGTTAAAGCAGAGTCGGAAGAGGTAGCGAACTAAGTCAATAAACTAAGCAGACCAGACCCAGCTGCTAATGCATTTGTGCCTATGGGAGAGCCACCCCGCTAAAAGCCAATTTATGCTTGATATGAAAATGTGCTCGGCTCCGTATGGAGGGTGTGATGCAATTGCGGTGCCTCCGGAGGCATGCAGAGGCCAAACTGAGCTCCGTACTGAATCACTGTGCTCCTACAAAATGTTTTAACAATGCGGAGGGCTCCGTATAGCTCCGCATTGACATGTCTGGATGACAGTAGGTGGGTGCGGGAGGTCCTTTATAAACACAAACTCACTTCCTTGACAACTTCCTTCATAAAAGCTCTACTCAACAGCTCTGCGCTGCTCCGCGAAGCGCAAGAAGTATGAATGCCCTGAGTTCTGCAGAGGCCATATCACCCTAAATGCTGCACGGCCAATGCAGATGTCGGATTGACCATGCAGCACCTTTAAGCAGACCGGAACTGACCATTTTTGTCAATGGTAAACAGTGGGACATCTTCATTTATCCACCATCTTTGGTCAAATTTTGGCCTCCAGGAAGTTACATGCACTGGCAGGAATGACCACTCCAACTGCTGTGTGTGAGAAAACTAAAGTACCTGTTCTGAGCCCGGTTTCCCGATAGTGATGGAACTTCTGCTTACCAGTGTTTTAATGATGCATCTTTCCTACAACGGCCAAAGATGCAACATGCATTTCCCAAAACACTATGCAGGCACAATGGTCGCTAAGTGTATCGTTGGAGCATGTGTCGATACTGATAGGATCAAAAGAAAGGGAGTGCTGCTCTCGTATCAGTTTTCTCCATTCAAATCTTTCCTAAACATTATAATTATTTCACAATACTGACGACGAATCAGCTCCTAGAGAGATATTATAGGGTCCCTGTAGCTCAGTTGGTAGAGCATGGCGCTTGCAACGCCAGGGTTGTGGGTTTGTTTCCCACGGGGGGCCAGTATGAAAATGTATGCACTCACTAACTGTAAGTCGCTCTGGATAAGAGCATCTGCTAAATGACTAAAATGTAAATGTAAAATATTACCACCTACAGCTGCAAATATTGATGCGGCTTATTCTAATGCTTACCCAATAAAAATGCACTAAATCACAGATTTAGCTCATCATTGCACACATGTTAGGCTACACATCATGAAATATATTGAGACATATTAAAGACAGTAGCCTACAAGTACCCCATTTATAGACGCTAACGACTTTAGCGCCTATTGATTTGTTAAGAGCCCCGACGCTTGCTGTAAACATTAACATGCATCGCTTGCGGTACTGTTTTGGAAACTGTATCTTTCATATCATTGAGAAATAATTTTCAAAAAACACAAGGTAAATTACTGTACACCTTGATAGGGTTAGTGTTGCCACACGGCCATATCTCCATGTTACAGCGCTTGTTTACGGAAGACAGACAGAAGACATGGGCCGCCACCTGTTCTAATTAGCTATCTAGCATGCTCCGAACACCTATGTGTAAACTAACTGCTACAGTAAGTGTATATATTTTTTTGGGGAAAGCTTATTTCTCGCTGACATGAAAGATAAGGGGTATATCAGCATATGTTTTGACATTTCGAAACGTTCAAATTGTAGTTTACATAGAGCCAAATGTGGGTGAATGTAATGGCTGAAAACAATACATACAGAGAATAATGGTTTTCAAGAGCTAGCCTATAAGAAGCAAAATAGGACTCAACTGATGAAACATTAAATGTATTTCAATATGATTGAAATAGGCTTATAGACTACTGTTTCTATTTTATTGTAGTCATCTCAGTTTTCATTTGAAGCATATTTTTATACGTCGCTTGTTTGTACCAATTGTAAAGATATTGTCAACTTTGTATTTGTAGTCAACTTTGTTCTGAAGTTATCAGAGGTCACAGAGAGATGGATAAACCATTTGATTCTATGTTTAGCGGACATCTTCTGTTTATAAAGTGACGTGGGAGGGCAAAAAAAGCATCTAACGACGCACTTAGCTGTTCAATGAGTGGTCTGAGGCTAGGGTGACCACAGTCCCGCATTTTGGCCCTTTGTTCCACATCCCGCATCTTTATCAACAAAATAAAATATTGATTTGTCCTGTATTTGTCAGACATTCCAACCCATCTCTTGCAATCCCGTTGTGCTTATGAAAAGATACAGTATCATTAGGATATGGTAGCCTAAGCCTACTGGTGATGTTAAACACGGCAATCATTGTTGAGAGCTGATATCTTGTGAAGCGCAAGATGAGACGTAGGCCAATATCATAGGCCTATCGTCAACCAATCATATTTCTCAAATCCTTTCAGGCTAAATTCCAGCTAAACTTGGAGAGGATGGTTAGGCCTCTTAACTACTTATAAAGAGCGTGCTTCTGAGGAAGATCTACTAAAGTAAGTAAATAGCTGTATTAGACTGAAATATATAAGGTAATTTCGTCAAACTTGTGAGGCTCTCCATGCTCATTAGTTGCTCATTCAACATATTTGCTGCTACTTCACTCAATCCCGTTTTAAAAGACTCCCATCCTAACTGTTTACATTCCCTGAGACCAACCAGAAATGTTTCATTCGCCAAATATTCAGAGATTTCCATAAAACAGCCACACATGGTCTCTCGTTTCCACATCAAGAGTAGGCTACACTTCAATTGCTTGGTTGGTGCAGCGGACTGCAGGGGTGCTGGAGTACAACAAAGAGCCACTTCTCACAATGGTCCTTGTTTAGTTAGATCAAAGCTGAATCAATGTCTTGGAAGATCACATTGATAGTATAATGTTACTGTTACACCAAAAACACCACCTAATTTCTT